TCTTTGCCATTAAGACCTGCAGGACCTGGCATACCGTCTGGGCCTGGTGGTCCCATGGGTCCGTCTGGACCTGCTGGTCCTGGTGGGCCTTGCGGGCACTTGATGCAAGTGCTGGTGTCAACGTCACAGCTGATTGATTGTGGGATATCGTGATTGTCAATGCCTGGTGGTCCTGGTGGTCCCGGCGCTGAAAAAGTTACGGTTAGTAAAATTTAGAAACTAATTTTTTGTTCATGGTTATTAAAACTCTTGCTTTTGGTGAAAGAAGTCGTCATAAACGGTAGATGAACAATTTATGCAGTTCCTAATGACAAATTTAAAGCGAATGCTAATCTCTCCAAAGCCTGAAACTCACGTCCATCTGGTCCTGGGTCTCCTGGAGGTCCTTGTGGTCCTGGCGGACACTCTCTTTTCGGAGTACATATACACCATGATGGCAAACCTGCTTGTCGCCTATGGCGGATGAAAGTTCGGAAGGGATTGTCCAGTGGTTTACTTTCAGGAAGAACTTTTACTTGAATTTCCATCATTTTAGACCAAGCAGAGTCGGTTTCCACCCGGAACGTTTGAACGCCGTCAATCACTTTATCGTGAAGCTAAACTAATGAAGTTGGTATCAGTTAAACTAACACTTGAGAATTTGCCTGCCTACACGCTTATACCAGTTTTTTTCGTCTATCACTAATCTTTTTCACATTTTTATTATCTGCAAGACGCTGCTTGCATACTGAGCATCTAGTAAGTGTGTATCTGACAAGTCAGGGAATTTTTATTTGATAGAATAAAGAGCTATACCTGGTTCACAGTAGTGTACATGGAGGGAAGGAAGATAATGCATGAGAGCACAGCGATGGTGCTGCAGAATGCAGCCACGCACGCGATCACTTGTGCCTCGTGCATAGCTGGTTAACGCAGTCAATGACGGTTCCTTCGAGTTGCCGCTAGCCTTTTATAGCTTCTAAAGTGCTGTCTGTACCATTTACACTGATATATTGTTTGAAACAAAAAACCAACAGCGACAACAACAGAAAAAAAATGATGAAGTATTTATTTTCCAGAAACTTGTTTGCAGATAGTTTTTTACTGTTCTACCCAATCTTATAATCAGTTTCATTCTTTTTTTTTTCTTTTTTTTTTTATTTCTTGTTAATTACATTGACTTTTCTTTTGCTCTACAGCAGGTGGCAAAAGGGCAAATAAAAAAAGATGCAAAATATAGTTGAAAAAGAAAAATAAAAAATAAACTGGAATAAAATAAGATAAAAGTAAACAGACTTAATTTGTTACAGCTATTTTTTTCTGCTTATTTACATCAGCATTATCATTATTGTTGTAATCCTTGTAAATATGATAATAATATTAGTAATAACAGTAAAAACAGCAACAGTAGTAATAAAAGTGACGGTAATGACAGTAAAATTAAAAAACAGTAATAAGAGTAATAAAGACGGTAATACTGAGTTGATTTTGTTGTTACTGTTACTGTTGGTATTACTATACTTATTGACTTTATATGATTTCTGATATCACTACTATTAGTATTAAAGCAATTAATTTTTTGTGTTTTTTATCAATGCCAATTAAAATGATTTTTATTTTTACTTTGTTGCGTAAAAAAAAAGTTTGGCTTTTTAGCCTTTGCAGAATTACAGTGTTAAGAAAATGATTTAATTTACTTTTCCTAAATTTGATGACGTTATTTTAAGCAACTGCTACACTCATCCTTATCAGTGAGTTTCTGCAATCATAACTGTTTCAAAACCAACTTCAAAAACCCGTAACAGTGTGCAACTTAAGGTCGGTGTGATTTCATTTTTCCATCAGTCTTATGTTTGCATGACCATTTTGCTGTCATAACAGCTTTACTTTCTCAACACCAAAGAAAGTTTCCTTTGTGCAAAAATTTGTTTGTCGTTGTGTCAGTGAAAATTGCTGAAAAACTGTTATAGTTAAGAAATTATAATAGGAATTTATGTAAAATATAAATTTGCTGTGAAAAAATTTGGCAAAATAATTAGTATGTTATTGTTGAAATCTTCTTTTTTTTTCTGTTTTATCACAAAGAGGGTGGAGGTTGAAGAAAGCGGAATTCAATTTTCAATATTTCACTTTATTTCAAGGTAAAATTTTTGTTGCAGTTTAGTTTGAAAAATTGTATCTTCTTTTTTTTTCGTCTTCCATAACTGTTCGTTGCATTTACAACGTTGCAGTTTTTTTCTGCATTTAATGGTTCACACTGCTTTCTTAAAACATTTCAACATGTCGACGACATTCACCGTCCTTCTTCTTCTTCTTCATTTTTTTTTAAATTTTTTCCTTTTGTTGCTAAGTAACAATCAAAAAAAAAAAAAAAAAAAAAAAAAA